GTCAAAAATATCTAGCCCTTCAGAGAAAAAAACTTGCCAACTTTTGACATAGAGCATGTAAAAGATAAACTTTGTTGTCTTTGTTTACTGAGTTTTATTACTGTGCCATAACCAAGCATTCATTCAATTAATATACTGGGAAGAGGGAAGGAAGCCCATGTGTTCAAGACAGTGTAAGGATTCAAGATGGCTCAGAGGTTCAAGTGGACTAATGATGGGAAGTGACGGACTCAGGACAGTTCAGGGGAAGTAAGGCAAGAAGCAAGCAACAAGGAGGTTAGGTGGAACCTGAAGTTGTGCTAAGGCCTTCAGTTTTATTGTATGAAGCATGTGTGGCCTTATAATAAATTTTGTTTAGAGACCTGACACCTACTTTCTTTTACAAGAGCACTCTGGCAGTGGTACGAAGGGTAACTTATTTGGCAGGCAGGGTTGAATAAGATTAGATGAAGAAAAATTAAAGGCACTGGTTGTGGGGGAGTAGAGTAAAGAAAGGAGAGGAAGAAACTTGTTCTCAGCACAGACTCCGAGCCCCCTTCCTTGAAGATTCTGATTCACTGGGTCAAGGGTAGAGCCCAGGGATCTATGTATGTAACTTGATTCTAGTTGATTCTTAGCATTAGTAGTCCTGATTAAGAAACTCTTTGAAAGAATGACTCTTCAGTGCAGTTTTTTCATTGCTAAGGAGCTTTACTTCTGTCAAATATGTATAAATTTGTCCCGTTTCTCTGAAGGGAGTCAGTTAGGGCCCACAGAAAGTGCTAAGGTTAATGCTTGTCATTTCCTTTTCTTTAAGTCCATTACACTAATAAATATGGGCCTTTGAAGTCACCTGAAAACCAATTTGCTAATTTGTAGCACTGATCTATGCAACCTCAGTATCGGAAGGAAGAATTGAAAAGAACCTTCCCCTTCTGAAATATTGTGATGCTAACTTCCCAGGCCTCCATTCCAGCATTTTCTTATTGTGTCAGAGCCTGGCAAAACACAGAGGATTCACCCTTCTGCCTCATGAACAGAACCTGATGGTAAGCAATGGGTCACAAATTTCAGCTTGTATCAGAGTCACTTGAAAGGCTTGCTTAAATACAGATTGGAAGGACCCATACCCAATGTTTCTGATTGAGCAGGTTGATGTTAGGGCCCTAAGAATTTGAATTTCCAACAGATTTCCATGAGAGGCAGATGATGTTGGTCAGGGATCAGGTTTTCTACTTTTTAACCCATGTGTATACACTTCCTCCTGGAACTATGTACTGTGATTGGTTCTGGGCCCCCACCAGTCAGCCTCTGGCCCTGTCTGGCCCATTGATTGGATGTTTAAGATCTAAGCACGTTACCCAAGCTGATTCAGTTATTGTGAAGCTCAGAACTTTTGTTTGGAACTTTTAGAAAGGTAGTCTCTTCTATCTAAAGTGATGTGTGGGCATAAAACCAGCACTGCTTTTGCCATTTTACTACAATGCAGGAAGTCAATTTGCGATAAGACTCACTCATGGAAAAAGGAGAGCTGAGAGAATCACAAACAGCAAGGGAAGTTGTGAGCCTGAGCCCAGGTCAGCTTGTCCTGGAAGCTGCCTTTCTGTGGGGACTTCACACTTACCTGAGCCAATGTTTCCCTTTTAATAAGTCAATTCAGATTG